TAATGTCTAATACATGCATATAAGTGGTTAATTTATGACAAAAGCAAAATATTATCTTATTCATTTATTTAAAACCTAGTCTTCTCTTTTCTGAAGCAACTGGAAAAATAAATAATTTAATATTTTATGAATATTTGTAGGTTTGACTACTTATTAATTCTCAGGACAAGTATTTTATTATGAATATCTGTATATATTATTATAACAAAGTGTTAGTACTGTTTCTTTTAAAGTATTATAAAATTTAAATAGAAGAATAGCTAGATTAATTGAAAATGCAAGTATTTTTAAATCATAAAAGATGATTATATCAAGTATAATACAATATCATGCTGATTCCAAATAACTCACTAATGTGTGATTTCCCCTACATTGTTTTTTATTTTTTCTTGTTTTTGGTTACATCTTTGAGAACACATAGCTCCAAAACATTTTTAAATTGCTTACCAAATCATAGACCAAAAATATATTTTTAGAATGTAATTTTAGAATTTCATTAAGCATTAAACTCATTCATCATAAAACATCATGCATAGCTTGTTTTAGAAACAATACTGAACAGCTCATATCCTTTGCTTAAAAATAGACTTTTTCTTAAAGCGATTATCTTCTTTTCAGTCCAATTTTTTCTTTTCTGGTATTCAATGGGATTTCAGTTCCAATGAGTTTTTATTTTACTATGCTAATCATGGAATTATCCCATCTTTTTTTCCTATCTACCTCCAAAGTTGTTGGATTTTAAATGCATTTTTTGGTCAGAAGTTTATATATTCAGGAATAGTGAAGTTCATATGCCTTAACCTTCGATGATTGATAAGAACAGGCTACTGTGACTATTGTATGTAAGAGGCAGTTCAGTAGTTAAGAACACACATTTTTGGAGCCAGATTTACTAGTTCAAATTCTGGTCCTGCTATTTACCAACCAGCATGTGACCTTGGTCAACTTTTTTTTTATTTTTTGTATTTCTTTTTTTGAATTTTTAAATCTTTTTGGCCAACTTATTAACATCTCTGTGCTTCAGTTTCCTTGTCTGTAAAGTGTGGGAGATAATAATACCCATCTCATGAAGTTATTGTGCGAATTAAGTGGGTTAATATATGCTAAGCCCTTAGAACTCTGTCTAGCTAATAGTAAATGTGGCATAGATATTTTTATTATCATCCTGAGATCTATTACTTTCCTTTGAAATTGTAACAAATTCACTTTTGGAGACCATGGTGGGCAGATCACTTGAGGTCAGCAGTTCCAGACAAGCCTGACCAACATGGTGAAACCCTGCCTCTACTGAAAAAAAAAAAAAAAAAAAATTAGCCAGGAGTGGTGGCGCATGCCTGTGGTCCCAGCTACTTGGGAGGCTGAGGCAGGAGAATCACCTGGACCAGGGAGACGGAGGTTGCAGTGAACCAAAATTGCACCACTGCACTCCAACCTGGGTGACAGAGTGAGTGAAACTCTGTCTTCAACAACAACAACAACAACAACAATTTAATAAATTCAAAATAATTAATTCACAGTCAAATAATTTCTTTCTACAACCTTTTTATATGTATCTAATGATGACCCAACTCTGTCCAGAGAGTCTGGAAGCAATTTCTGTATGCTCTATAGTTTTATCTTTTCTTTAATTTTTTATATGTTTATTCACTCATTCAGTCTTTCTTATTTATTGAACACTTACTATGGTGCTTAGGTAGCCAGAGAAAAACAAACTGAAAAATTCTCTGGTACCAGTAAGCTTATATTCATCATCTCAGAGTTAGGCAATATGTGTTAACAGAGCATGTCTGATTGGAAACTTGCCTTATGCCACCTACCTATTACCCCCAAACATTATTAATGTAAACATTGTTTTGGAGCAAATGTCTATTTTTCTCTTCATTGGTATATTAAAGAACTTAACTATCTTATTAAATAACTTAATCACTTATTTTTGCATTTAAAAATCACTATGCTTATTTAAATGAACAAGCTGGGAAATTTTGGTTTTAGAGATGGGTGTAGAGATAATGGGTCAATGTTCTTACTTATTTGCCTTCCCTTCCACTCCCTGATAGCATTAATCTATCTTCTTATTAGAATGTTTCATCTTGACTCATCCTTGAAATTGGGATATTCAGCTTTACTTGTAAATTTATCAGAGGTTCTCAGTATGTTCACACTTGGGGCTGTGGGAAAGGATGCAGCTGAATGGTAATATATTAACAATATGTGTTGAAACAGCAGTTCCTGTTGACTGTATACAAAACACAAATTTCTAATAGTTCTTACAGCACCACTTCCTCTGCAGATTATGTCGGAAATTCTTTAGTCTGAATAATCATTCCCGGGGGGAAAAGCCTTCAAAATAAATTTACTTTATTGCCTGTGTGTGTGTATGAGTGTGTGTGTTAGAGAAAGAGAGAGAGTCTGATTATTGTAGAATACTGAGTCAGTCATGTACATATGCTTAGTATAATTAAGGAACATAATTTGATGGTAGCAACAATATCTAATTCTATGAATCAGTCTGTATGCTGTGGCTTGTCACCACATTGTTTAAAAATAAACTAATAACAACAATAGACAGCTAATCCAAATGTTAAAAAAAACAATGTTGGGGGAATAGGTTTTCAGAAATCAAAACAAAACAAAACTGAAAACTTTAGTTATGTGGATAGTTGTAGAAGAAATAAATCTATCATCCTTTTTTGGACATAAAGGCAAAGCAGGCTTTCCCCCTCAGTTATCTCAACATTTGGCTACCACTCTTTGCTTCATTTTAGTTTGGAGTTATCTGTAAATTGAACTCTTAGTAGGGGTGAAGTGATGCATTCCCAGAGATGTTTTTAGTGGGGTTTAACCTGGGACTGTTGCATTTGGTGTGTGTGAGGGAAGCGTATGTAGTTTTCAAACAGTAATTTATCCATATCCCACCCCAACCTTCCACTTTTTTTTTTTTTTTTTGAGACAGGGTCATGTTGCCCTGGCTGGAGTGCAGTCGCACAATCATGGCTCACAGCACCATTGACCTCCTGGCCCCAAGCCATCATCCCACTTCAGCTCCCCAAGTAGCTGGGACTACAGGCATGTGCTACCATGCTCAGCTAATTTTTTTTGTAGAGACCAGGTTTTTCTGTGTTGTCCAAGCTGGCCTTGAACTTCTCTCCTCTGGTGATCCTTCTACTTTAGCTTCCCAAAGTGCTGGTATTAGCCACTGTGCCTGGACCCTTTGTAATTTTTAAAAGTTCTGATGATTCTGAATTATCTCATACTTCACTTACATACTTTCTACCTTTGTTAGAATGCACTTTTGGGGACTGTGAATAGATTAAGTTTCTAAAAGATCCATTAGTGCTCAAAAAAAGTCAGTTAATTTCACATGAGAGCACTTTCATCTTAATAGAAGTCTTTTTTTTTTTTTTTTTTT